ATCTAGACCACCTAGCATGTAGTATATGCAATGCAAATGGTGACCTTTCGGATTTGAATTTGAGGAGGAACTTCTCGAAGGTGCTTCCTATACGATGTTTTTTGAATCTCCCTAAAAGTGCAATTGTCCAGTCAGAGCAAATGAGCCTACCAAGAGCTACAAATTCCAGGCCAACAGCTCCAAGGAGCAAGGCGTATGTAATCCGTACATCATATTCGTGAAAACCATGCTTGTTCAGGACATAGAAAAGTGCAAAAGCAGTAACGACGGAACCAATTGAGATAGCTCGGAAAAGGTACCCTGTTGGACAGTGAACCAGGGCAGCCTTGGTATAAAGAACATCATAAAAGAAGTTGAGCTCAGCCTCAATGACCCGAAAAGCATCCTTTGCGGTTATCCCACTGAAAAGTATCCAGCTATTGTTCATTTGACCGAAGTGGAAGGGGAGTTCTACAAGGATGCCTTTGAAGGTTGTGAAGTAAAAAAATGCGGTTTTTATCACTGTTCCGTCGTCCAAATCGGTTTTATTTTGCCCTCCAGCATCTCGGGATTCGATATTGGGCTCCGACATCATCTCTATCGGAGGATCGTTCTCCCGCGTAGCATCAAGAGACGGGAGCAGGGAACCACGGAATTTACTGAAGCTGGCAAGATACAGAGCACGTGTTCGCTCTATATATTTTATGGTTCCTCCAATAAACACGAGGATGGTCGGGACAATTAGCTTGTTGCTGGGGAGGGATTGGTAAAACACATAGCATGCGGTGCCCAGCTGGAATAAGAGATTAAGCAAGTGCCTACCCCACAGCTCATTATCCTCGAGCGCGAAAGCGGTTATGGTGTCGGGTCCTCCGAGGTGTAGCAGCAGAAATGGAGCCCAAAATGCCAAAAGGTCGCCATATGCATTGGCCTCGGAATCTGAAGTACCACCAACGATTTGGACTTTGGCAATGAGTCCGAAGGCATAGACAGCGACCGAGTCGGCAACCAGGTAAGCCGACCACATGAGAATCGCGAACCACCTGTTTGACCACCTCTTTCGCATGGGTGCAAAAAAGATGAGAAAGACTTGCAGAGATAGGCTCGCGAGGATCGCCCCTCGGAGATTGAGTTTCATCCATAAATTCTTGGCCTCTGCAAGAATGTTCGTGTTTCCCATTCGATCCTCACTTTCTCCCCAGATCCTGGAATAAAATCTTTTAGTCAGCATGAGTATTACCTCCTAGGAAGCACGAACACTCTCCGTGGGCCTTCGTGTCGGTGTTGGACGCACGTCCACGCGCAACCGACACATGGTCAATGCTCTGCACAAGCCAGCGACACACGAGTCCAGCATCCCGACACGCCCGGGTCAATTTTAAACATCTCCAATAAATTAGAGATCAAAATGTAAATTCATCATGGGCTCTTTTTTTAATTATTGGTTTATTTATGGATTCAAATCAAATTAATTTAATTGAAATAACTATAAAAGTGATAATTTATCATGTATATATAAAAATATACATTTGATATATAACGTGTCCCGACGTGTCGGAATTCTCTATTTTTTTGAGAAATGACGTGTCAACGTGTCGTGTCATGTCGTGGTGTCGGTGCTACTTAGAGTATTACAATAAGGCAACAATGATTGAATAGATATGCAAGCCGGAGGATATAATAACAGAAAAGGTGACTACTGAGGGCAGAGAGTCGACAATACCTTGAAATTTATTTACGATTCGATAGGAATGGATGTCTTGCTTCACGCTACGAGTGTCGAGCAATGCGTAGTTATAAAGGAGTTAGAAGAGACAGGACTCAACCTGAGGTCAGTATGGAGCAGGAGGACTCGGCGAGAAACTTGTGGAGAACGCATGCTAAAAGCATGAAAACCAGTGCGCTTTAGCCCTTGTTAGTGACGTACATTCTATTCTTTATCACACTTTGGCATTTCTTCTTTTATCTTTAACTTCTCTTCTCATTCAAGCATCGTCATCGCACCCATCACTGTCCAGCATCCCTCAGGAGATGATCTACCAGTTTGAAGTGTCGAGATCGAGAGAGAGAGAGAGTTCTTTTGTCATCTGGTGCTTCTTGCCTTCGAGCTTTAATGCTGTTTGATTCCAATTTTAGCTTTAACCTCATTCACATATCTCTCTTTTTCATTGTCTTGCAGGTTCTATTCTTTCCTGATCAATAAGAGCAAAAGCGAAGTCTCACAACAAACAAGAGGCCTCACAACTACTCTTCAGACATGGACAACACATTAGCTTAAAGCATCACCCGATGGACAGAGTTATTACAGTTCAGAACATCATCCAACCTCAATGTAGTAGCTTCATTCCTTCGTGACAAATGTGCAAATTAATTGCATCAAAGCAAATCGGACACAAGCTCAGAACTTCAGACAGCGAGCAACCAGATACCAAACCAAATCACAAATTCGATGCAATGCAAATCCTGTCCCTAACCTTCTGCACTAAACCTGATCAACAACAAAGAGAAATTTGAAAAATCACGATGAACACTGTTTGCGCATGACACCGAGCATGGAATTGGAGGCATTGAAGAACACCATTGGAAAAATCTAAGATCCATTAGGCTAGGCCATTTATAGCTGATGTTTCAGCTATGGGCATTGTATGGGTCACTCATGTGAGCGTTACCTTGTCGAGAGTAGTCCAGCACCGATAAGATCTGTCATGGATAAACTTAAAATCTCGCGTATAGTGTTTATTGCTGCAAAGCCATCATTAGCATTGGGAAGAAGATTTCCCGCTTCTCTGCTATTGTAATGTTGCCCGGCGTGTTAGATCATCTGTTTCTTGTATGGCCAAGACAAAGCTTTATCAATAATTCTATTGTTAACATGTTGCGGCCTTTGCTTGGTCTTTTCCATTCAGAGCCTGGAATTGGTTTGTGGAAGCGGAAAGCTGATGCAGCTTTCTGTTTGTATATTAGTCTACTCGTTTCGATTATATCGTGTATTATAATCTGACCATTTGATTAACTTTAAGGCGGTCTTTCTAACTTGTACAAGATGAAGTCTTTCTTTGAGGAGATTCTCGATGCAATTCCCGACTCTATGTTGGATGCACCTATTGCGGAGGCTCCGTCCGGTTCAGAAAGCCCTTTCACTAAGATAAAAAGATGTGCTGCCTCCTTCATACAAGGAAAGAGAACAAGAGGCGTTATATGCATAATCATCATTCTAATACCAAAGTCGACAGAAAAAGGAGAGAGATTAGTTAGATAGTTCATCTGTTGCCACTGTTTTGGAAGGTGGTCTGTCTGCACTGTCATCTGCTGTCCCATTTGTGATCGATTACTGTATAATCAGACAAATGGTCATGGCTATCTTGTCTGTATCACCTGGTGTTTGCAATTTTTACATTGGTTTTGTTGTTTCTGAAAGTAATGATGAGGTTCTTAAGACAATTAGTCTCATCTTCTCCCCACACTTGCCAAAAGTAGGTCAACGCAGCAGCTGTGATTATGTTTAGCCGTGGAGATATGATTCAGTAGAGTCTGTGTGAGGGCTACCGAATTCGCAAGAACCATCCTCTCTTTTGGTTGATTCGCGAGACAAAAGAAGTATCATCCTAAAGAAGTCATGAGCGACTTCAAACTTCATCGCGCGATCGTGTATTTCCGAGCGAATAAGCTGATGGGCCTTAACCTAATGCAATCAGCTGACGAAGCTGGTCGATATCGTTCCCCTTCTTTTTTCGCACTATTGCAGACCCGACGAGGGTGTTGGAATAGAATCAAAAGATAAAAAGATGGACCATAGCGAGAAGCTAAGAAGGATATCTATTGCCTTTCATTAGAGAAGTGGAAAGGCCATCTACTTGTTTGTCTGATTCAACGTGTAATTTTGATTTGAGCCGAAAATAGTTATCTTTAAACTTTCTAAACATATGGTGGGTATTGGTGGATGAACATATACATCCTTTATCACCTTAACTTTTCAAATGGGATGAGATCGACTATCGTTTAGAAGTATAGCATGATTATGACATCAAACATGAATTATATACAAAAATAGGAGTCACGCTTGCATTACATAAATAGAAAAAAAAAATAAAGGAAAAACAGAGGTGTTATCACTTACAAGGGAAAACGTAGCAAATCGGGTTCATTAGATAAATCTTGTGGAAAATCAATTGTCTTCTTTCTGCAAGGAAAAGATCACACACTTTTCCCGTAGGAAAAAAAATTCTACAAATTCTGAAATAGATGTGTCCTTTTTCTTTAAAAAAAAGAAATTGGGTCTACTTAATTTCTTTGTAAAATAAGAAAAATTCAATTTGATGAGAATAAGAAAAGTTCGTACTTACGATTGAAAAGCGCTAGCAATTCGAGATAAACTAAGATATTTCATGCACCGATGAATATTATTTACAAGCAAACCCACTTATCTCCACTATCTAACCTTTTTTTTGTTTTACCAGAGTTAATCTAGCAAATTAATTAGAAATTCCTTAAAAAACACTTGTGATTATTGTTAGGTTTATCACCATCATAAAGATACTTTTACACATTTACCGTCGTACTTTCTTGTCGATTCAGAAGGGGAATGTGAGGGATTTATTGGGTTTCATCAATGGAGCATGGATTATTAGAACGTGTCCGTCTTATCGTTTCATAAATGAGATTAGCAACTAGAAATTGAAATTGGTATTTGTCGAATTGATTCGAAAGGAAAAGGAAATTTTTTATTAATTTACTGGATTAACTATGGTAAAAAAAAAAAGGAGGTTCATGGAAGATTTTCCCGAGGGGATATTACGATTAACTTTTTTTTTTCCTAAAGTGTCAGATTTTCATATTTCCATCGTAATTTTGTAAAGTAAATTAGTTTTTCAGCCAAAATAATGTATATAAGATCTTCCCGATTTTTGTATATGGGGGACCATTGAGAAATCTGAGATCACTAGACGTCGATCGCACGCTCCCCTCCTCCTCCTCCGCCGAGCGATTTCCCATCGCTTCCCAGTTTGAAGAATCCATCCATCATGGGCTCGATCGTCGCCGGAGAAGACGACACCGACTGGAGCGGCGTCGCGACGAGCTGGACCGTCTCAGCCGGCAATCTTGCCGACTCGGTGACCGTCGAGTCGTCTCTTTCTCCGATCGACGACGGCGCGGTCGGCTCAGCTCCGAGAGCTCCTCTCCTCCTGCGCCCTCCCTCGCCCAATCGCGGCCCCTGCGAGATCACTGGTAAGCTCTTTCCGGCTCACTCTTAGCTTCCCGAGTGCTGGTGTGTGGGTTCTATCGTTTTCGCGTAGTGAATTAGTAATTAGTCACGACTATGAGACGAGATGCAGTCGCTCGGTCGCGGTGTTTCTCCAAGTTTCATCTTTTATTGCGTTTGAATTATATTCTTTTGTCCTTGATTTGAAGCACACGAGTCAGACCATCGATTAGCGGCTTAAGTAGCTTTCGAACGATTCGTGTTAATGTGATGTAGTGGTGGTTTATGTGTCCTTTTCACCTCGACCGCCCGATCATTACTTGCTTAAGCCTCGAAGAAGAATTGTTTCAGTGCCTTAGTTGCGGTTATGAGTGACAAAAAATTCGTTTGCTGGCTGCAGTTAGTTTCGCTCAGCGACACGAGGTGCGCCAAGTTTATGTCCGAAGCACTGCTCGAGTTTACGAGATATACTACGCCCCCAAGCAGCGGGCGGGCAATGAGTATCTCTGTACGGTTCGATGCGGCATTGTCGTTAGGGACGAAGTTTCTGGCAGGGATGTTCCTCGAGCAGCTAATCTCGCTTCTCGTGGGGACTCTATGGATGAGTTTGCCGACGAAAGATCCAAAAATGAGATTAATTTGAATGCTGGTGAAGACGATTGGGTTGAAGTGAAGGCGCCCAGTACTTCATTTGAAACTAATACAAATGTCGCTACATCTTTGAAGTCCTCTATCAAAATGGTAATAGACCCGCTCTCTTGCGTATGTAGATGTAGCTTCTTTTCCTTTCCTTATTTCATTGTCTCATATCCTATAGTTGATTCTGAGCTATGAGTGTGTCGTATTTGTTGAGACCTCAAGGTAATTCACGGTTGTTACATTGCACGGTAGGTAAGACATAGGTAGGACCTGAAGGTGCTTGGGGTGCTTATTAGATTGTAAATGGATCCAAATTTGGAAATAGGACGCAGCTTTAAATTTGAAAACGGAAAGGAACATGAAACAATAGAAGGAATGTTGTCAGCATATTAAAGGAAGAGTTGGCTCGACTTGCTTAATTTAGATATCACTGTTGAAGACAATCACAATTTTATTTTGTCCTTTGCTCTTCTTTTCTGATGCTGGTTAAATCCTGTTCAGGATTTTTACGAGGCAACAGCTGAGATTACCGATGCAGACCCCTGCACATCTCTCACGATTCGTATGCTCTCAGTTCAAAGTGGAGATTGTGTATATATAGACGAAATCTATGTGTTTGCTGAACCTGTTGAATCTAACTTTGAAGATGAGGACAGGCAATTGGGAACTACAGCTGGAACTTCGCTTATGGCTATGCTTGTGCCTAGCCTCCTGCAGTTATCTAAAACGAGAATGGCTGGTCAAGTACAGGATAAGGATGCTCATGATGTGAGGGATATCCAGAAGTGCCCACCTGCTGGTTCAGAGACAACAGAACCCAATCTGAGTTCGAAAGTAACTGTAACGGCCGATGTTGCAAATAGAGATGGACATGCTACTGGCATTTTTGATACTCAGCATATGGATAGGGTTATTTCTGAACCAGCTCAGGAAACTGTACGAGAAACAGATACTAATAGGCAGCAGGATGATTCTTTCAGTCGCTTTGAAAATGTCCTAGAACAGCTTGTTTCTCGAGTTAGCAGAATAGAAAGTTTCTTCTTGAGATTTGAAGAAAATATGATTAAGCCAATTAGCAGCATCGAAGCGAGGCTGCAACTTATTTTTGTCCCTTGCTCTTCTTGTTCATTTGATTGAAGCTGAAGGGGAGTTCCACAAGGAGGCCTTTGAAGGTTGTGAACTAAAAAAATGCGGTTTTTATCACTTCTCTGTCTTCCAAATCGGTTTTATTTTGCTCTCCAGCATCTAGGGATTCGATATTGGGCTTCCACTTGTCGCGACCTCCCCGAACCGGCCCCGCCGCCTAAGGTGGTTTGGTTAATGGATTACTAGGTTAAACCTAACTCGAGCTCTCCCAAGCTCATACCAATTCGCGACTTAAGCTGAAGTTATTAACATGGAAATCAATTTCACCTAGGAGTCGCCACTAATAAGTTTTTGGTGGGTCGATTAGGCACCCAAGTGAAACACGGGAGAAATGTTTCACTTCTACGAACCAGAGATTCAATGGGTACGGGGACTTGATTACACTAGCGATCTACTAGTGCCCTTTCGGTACCTAAACTTGATTACTTGCGAATTAACGTACCAGGCAGCCTATCGAAAAAACTAAGATTCCGTCTAACCATGCTAAAAATAGAAAATGACAACCAATAAATTAAAGGTGCGCAACCAAATAATCACAAAGAAAACAAGCAACCAGCGACCTAGCATCGTCTCTAAAAAAGAAAAGGCAATCAAAAGCCCTAAAGTAAAGCCCTCATGCTTATCCGATTTTTGAGAATTTTTTAGAGGGTGTTTTTTTCTCATTTTTTCATTTTTTTTTGAGTTTTTTTAAACCTAAAATCTAGTGAAATTAAGCCCAAAACTGATTTCTGAACATCTCCTAATTTTCTGATTTCTTTTTCTGGAATTTTTTTGAATTTTTTAATATTTTTGAATTTTCTGAATTTTTAAATGTTTTTTAATGTTTTTCAGACTTTTTAATATTTTTTTGGATTTTTAAACATTTTCGAGTTTTTTTGGAATTTTTAATATTTTTTAATATTTTAATATTCTTTTTGAATTTTGAATTTCTTTTTAATGTTTTAATATTTTTAATAATATAATAATTCCGGATCGGGTCCCCTGACCCGATCCGCCCGACACATGACCCGGGATCCCCCCACTCCTTTTCTATTTTTTCTATTCCATTCTTTTGATTTTCCTTTTTTCTTTTGTCTTTTTCTTTTTTTTTATTTTTCTTTTTACTCTTCTCCCCCTTTCATGCCCATGCACGTGAACTTCTTCATATTGTTCACTACCGAAACTTCTTCTTCTGCCGAGTCCACGCCATGACCACTTCTCGGCCTCCGACCGACGGCGCGTGCCACGAACGCTGATGACCGACATCGGGTTCTCACTCTCACCGCCGACCGCTACACCCACCGAACCGTCGGCTAATTCCGGCCACAGAACGACACCAGCGACTAAAACTCATTCTCCCACCACCAAGCTCACGGCCACAAGAAAAACATTAAGCCTAAACAACCAGATGCACACAATATAGAATAGAAAATAGTGAACTGACGGTGGCGGCCTCCGACCGTAGGCATCATCAGCGATGAAGAACTTTCCGACGGAGGGGAGATGCAAACACGGCCAACTCGGACGATGTGCGAATCGCAACAAAACACCAGAAAAACACGAAGTCAGTATTGATTCGACGAATACGAGTACTAAATAAGCACAAAAACCGAGTTCTAGACACCGATTCCACAAAGAATCATCCGGACTTCCATTGAGACATTTCATCAAACATGTGGTATCCAAGTTGAAATATACACTCTTTAGTGAGATCCGATACGATTTCTAGCTTTAGACATGATATATACAACTCTAAACGCCCATATATCACGAAAAATTCTTCTCGGTTTACCCAAAAACGTTCGGAACTTTCAGACCCAAATTCGGTGCTCAGAGCTTCTAATATCTCATTCAAGCATTTCGACGAACAGTTAGCATGCGACTAAGGACGCGAGGTCCGAATCTGATTTTGGCGTGATTCTTGGCCTAACATGGTACTTACATACCCAAGTCGTCATTATACACTACGATCCGACTTCGGTATCACACGATTGGGTCACGACACCACTTAGTGAACTTGGTACGTGAGACTACCAAGATGCAGGGGAAAGAAAAGGGCAAGTAAGTACCTGGTTCAGTCACCGAGTTCCAGGTCAGTCGGGTTAGTATTTCCGGCGCGTGAAAATGCTCCTGATGATCGCCAACCTTCTTGCAATGAAGGGTTCTTCGTTGGTTTCTCAGCTCGGTTGTGAGGAGCTCCGATGGCCAAAAATGAGAGAACGATTGACTCGGGTGTTCGCGGGCTCTTAGTGCACGGTGGAGGGGACTCGACGGCGATTGGGGCGATCCTCCGACGAATGAGCGCAGCTTCGTCTTCTCCGATTCCCCTCAAGATCTCTCTCGGTCTCTCCTCTCACTTTTTGCTCTTCTTTTTTTCTCGGTCCCTCTCCCGCTCTCTATTCCCTCCTTTTTCCGAGCTCTCCCCCTCCTTTAAGCTCCTCAAGCTTTTTCCTCCCTGTTCTCTCTCCAGTCAAACTTTCTCTTGACTCTCCCTTTGGATGTGCAGACTGTGGTTTTTCCTTTGTCGTGTGTCTGCGGATGGAGACCAAAGAGAGAGAAAGAAACGCCTCCCTCTCAGTCCATGAAAGAGCTCCCCCTTTTGTCTTTTCCTTCCTTTTGCTTCTCTTCTGTGCGCGTGCAGAGGGAGTGCTGTCCTTGGTGAAAAGCTCCTCTTTTGTCTTCTCTCTCGGAACTCTCTCCCTCGGAACTCTGCCTCCTCTGTGCCTTTGCCCCCTGCTCTGGCTTCTGCATTCTGCTTCTGCGTCTCTGCTTTTCTTCTGGCTTCTGTCCGCTGCGTTCTTCCCTTCCCCAGGTCAGCTCAGAATGGGTCAAAGAGGAAAAGGGGAGTGGGCCAGCGTTGAATAACGCTGGTCCATCTTTCTGTCTCTTTCTTTTTTTTTTCTTTTTATAATAATCTTTTATAATAAATTAATTTTTTTTACAAAAATTTAACTAATTATTTTTTCTTTTTTTTTGAAAATAAACAATGGAAATATGTTCTAATATACCCTATTAATGCAAATACACCTATTGTTTACATGCCATGCAATTTAAAGAAAATATTTTTGGTTTAGGGGTTAAAAAATTAAACCCTAATTTTTATGCGATAAAACCCTAAATGAATAGGCAAAATTTAGGTGTCAACACCGCTTCATCTCTATCGGAGCATGGCTATTCCGCCGAGCATCAACAGACAGAAACAGGGAACCACGGAATTTACTGAAGCTGGCAAGATACAGAGCACGTGTCCGCTCTATATATTTTATGGTTCCACCAATAAATACGAGGATGGTCGGGACAATTAGCTTGTTACTGGGGAGGGATTGGTAAAACAAATAGCATGCCGTGCCTAGCTGGAATAAGAGATTAAGCAAGTGCCTCCGCCACAGCTCATTATCCTCGAGCGCGAAAGCGGTTTTGGTGTCGGGTCCTCCGAGGTGTAGCAGCAGAAATGGAGCCCAAAATGCCAAAAGGTCGCCATATGCGTCGACTTCGGAGTTTGAAGTACAACCGTTGAATTGGGTTTTGGCAATGAGTCCAAAGGCATAGACAGCAACCGAGTCGGCAACCAAGTAAGCCGACCACATGAGAGTCACGAACCACCAGCTTGAACACCTCTTTCGCATGGGTGCAAAAAAGATGAGAAAGACTTGCAGAGATAGGCTCGTAAGTATCGCCCCTCGGAGATTGAGTTTCATCCGTAAATTCTTGGCCTCTGCAATAATTTTCGTGTTTCCCATTCGATCCTCACTCTCTCCCCAGATCCTGGAAGGAAATCTTTTAGTCAGCATGAGTATTACCTCCTCCGAAGCACGGACACTCTCCGTAAGCCTTCGTGTCGGTGTCGGATGCGCGTCCACACGCAACCGACACGTGGTTAACATGTGTCTGACATCCAACACGTGGTCAACGCTTCGGACATGCCGGCGACACGCGAGTCCAGCATCCCGACACGCCCAGGTCAATTTTAAACATTTTCAATAAATTAGGGATCAAAATGTAAATTCATTCGAGGCTTATTGATTTATTTGCATATTCGAATCAAATTAATTTAATTGAAATAATCATAAAAGTGATAATTTATCATGTATTTATGAAAAATATACGTTTAATATATAAAATATCCCAACGTGTCGGAATTCTCTATCTTTTGATAAATGACGTGTCGATGTGTTATGTCGTGTCGCGTCGCGTGTCGATGTTGCTTAGAGTATAACAATAAGGCAATAATGATTGAATAGATATGCAAGTCGGAGAATATAATAACAGAAAACGTGACAATTGAGGAGGGCAGAGAGTCGATAATACCTTGAAATCTATATACGATCCGATAGGAACGGACGTCTTGCTACATGCAACCGAGTGTCAAGTAATGCATAGTTATAAAGGAGTTAGAAGTGATAGGACTCAAGCTGATGCTAGTCTGGAACAGGAGGACTCGGCGAGAAACTCGTGGAATGTATATTAAAAGCATGAAAACCAAAGCGCTTGGGCTCTTGTTATTGATGTACATTCTATTCTTTATCACACTTAGGCATTTCTTCTTTGATGGAGAGAGAGAGAGTTCTTTTGTCATCTGGTGCTTCTTGCCTTCGAGCTTTAACGCTGTTTGATTCCAATTTTAGCTTTAGTCTCATTCACATTTCTCTCTTTTTCATTGTCTTGCAGGTTCTATTCTTTCCTGATCAATAAGAGCAAAAGCCAAGTCTTACAACAAACAGGAGGCCTCACAACTACTCTTCAGAGTTATTCCAGCAAATTAATTAGAAATTCCTTACGAAAAAAAAACTAGAAGTGGTTATTGTTCGGTCTCTCGTCAGTGTAAAAATATTTCTACACATTCGCCATCTTGCTGATTCAGGAGAGATGTGAACAATTTATTGGGTTTCCGTTAGAGATGCTGGGATTATTTGAAAAGATAAGAAATTGGAAATTGTAATCGCTATGTGTTGGATTGGTTTGAAGGAAAAGGAACAGTTTAATTAAATTTACTGGATTAACTATGGTAAAAA